TAGTGGTTCCTTTTCGTAGAGTGTCAGCAACCATGTCCGTTTATGAATGTCGATCTTTCGAAATAGCCTTTGCGCACTGTTGGTTCGTGCGACTGTACCAGTGGCCTCAAACTGGTTGATCCATGCAGCGACTGTAGACTTTTGCTTGACATACAGAGTCGCCAGGTATGTCTTGGAGAGACCAAGCATATAGTAGCCGTAAAGGCAATGTAGCTTCGTGTTCTCGGACGCATGGTCTCGGCCAACAGCGCGGATCAGCCTCGGGACACCAGATTCCGACATCGTGCGAAGTATGCAATGCGATTTGATTGGCTACGTCAATAGTGTGCGATGTACTCACAGTTTGCTACGATGAAGTGAAAAGTCCAGTTTTCACCAAAAACGACAATACAATTCTCAAGATGATTTTCAGTACCACGGAGGCATTGAACATCGATCAAGTGCAATTGTTGACACGCAGCCTCTGAGAACATCCGGATACGATATCCGGTATGGTACGTTTACGAGGTGATTTTTGTACCTAATCATGTCGTCATCGGCGAAGTGATAACGCTATTCGGCATCCAGTGGGATGGCAGGCGCGGCACAAGGCAGGAAGCCGACAGAGGAAGAGCGGTTGGAGCGGCGTCGGCTTCGGTGTATGATCAACCAGCGCAGGTATCGGGCCAACTTGCGGAATGCAAAGACCAAATGGCGCAACGACATGGACGAATTGGGTCGGGTGAATCAACGACTGGAACGCCACCTTGCCGCGGTCGAGGGAAGCGGGCTGTGGTGCCATGCTCAAGAACAGTCCATTCTCGAGTACTTTCGATTGTTTGAGCACGGATACAATCGCACCCCCCGCCAGGACTCGTTTCTGCGGTTCTGGGTTGCTCCCGACGGGCATTGTAATGACCAAGTAAGTCACGCACCTTTGCTAGGCTACCTGACATGATACGAATGGATAGAAAGGTGTGGAGGCTGTCATGTCCATGTGGGCATCGTACAGCGACACGTTTACGTCGTTGCACCTTGCGTGCACGCGCTTGATCCCGGTGGCATGGTCGCTGGACAGCGTTATCATCGAGGCACATTGCTCCGTCACGTTGGGGGTGTCCTTGGCGGCGCTACAAGCACTGTTTCCCCATGTCATTTCCCGGCAAGACCTCGTGGACATGATGCTGGGCACACCGTTCCTGCTTCCGATGCATGCCACGTACACCTTCGATAGGAATATGCAAGTGACTCGGCAGACCTCTGGCGCGGACGTCGTTGGCGCGCTTCTGCATCAGTTTGGAAACTTGGACGACGTTGCCTTTGCGGTGTCGAACGCGGGCATCCAGTCTAACGCTATGCTCCGTGTGAACGTCCATACAACGTAAATCTCGTCTACATAGCCTCATGCTGCTCTTCGATCCCCTTTGCAACGTAATATGCGGGCTTCGTTCGCTGCAGAAGCAGCGAGCGATCGGCAACCCCTTTGCCCGGGGCGTCCTCTTGATCCATCCTTGTCGTCGATTTGGAAGGGCCAACGAGTAATGGTCTCCATGACATCCATGTGACCGGTCCCAGGCAACAAACATGACTGAGTGCGCGCAATGCGATCACTGCATCCACGCGGCTCTTTGGCTTTTTCATGGGTGGGTCACGCAAGAGTGAGCTGATGGTGGAATTCCAATCATTCCTCCATATGGCTTTGCTGGATGCGGCCAGGTGTGTTCCAGTTTGATGTTTTGCCAAGTCGTCAGGATGATTGAACCACTTCTGATGCTTCCCCTTGTCCCGAGAATCTCTGAAGAAGTATGCATGCAGCGCCGACGAATCCTCATGTCAACGCCATCCTCTCGACGAAAAGAATTCGCACTGACTTCGTCCACCGTCACACAGCAAAGCGTACATGTAACTACGCCCTGGTAGCTCGCTTGAATGCATTCCGAGCGGCCAGGTCTGCTTGGATCGTGGCGTCAGTCATATCACTCAGGTTGGCGAGTCGAAACAACTTCCGGTTAATATTATCCGGTCAACTGAGTTGCGCGTCGGAGGTGACGAGTGCAGCTTGCACTTCGAACACGTCATGTCATGCACCACCACACCGCATGCCATGTCGGAAAATATCGACAGGGAGAAGTTCGAGAGGCGGCGACAACGAGGCAAGATATCAACCTGCGCAGGTACAGAGCCAACCTACACATACAGTGAGCGGGCATGGTCGAGCTTGGTTTTGTAAGCCAGACGTTGTTGCGCACGCCTTTCCTCTTGCCCATGCATGCCGCGAACGTGTTCAACGACAACATGATGTGGACATTCTCATAAGCAAATGTAGACCAAGCCCACTTGGAACAGCTTGGCATCGTTGACTTGGTGGTTGCGGCTAAACAGAGTGATTCAGCCAAGCGCGATGATCCGCGGTGCGAGGCTCTCATATTCTTAATGTCGACGGCGCATGCGACTCTTTCAAATGAATGCAAGTGTTGCGATTTGCGACGCATGGAATTGATGCAAGCATTGAAAACACAGCATGTGCCTATGTCGTCGCACGAGTTTGGGGTCTGAGACTGAAACCACGGCTTTTTGATGAATCCCCGAGACTGCTTTCAGCGCCTCTCCAGCCACGACCCCTAGAACTCCAACGTTTCCAGCAAAATACCAGATTCATGGTCAAGCAGAGAACAAGGCAAGCCACACAGTTAGGTTAGTCAAATTCAATGCAAATTCTCTACACAATGGGCAGATCTCCTCCAGGCCACCGTGTTGGACGCTATCGTTCCATACCCACGCGCGTCCTTTCCGAGAGAGCATCGACGGACAATCGACTCCACATACGAACCCATCATCTTGTGGCGTGAAACGGACGAATCACATTCGCCCGTTGTGACGTCACTTTTCGATAAAGGATATCCGGATAATTCGCCAGCCCATCGTCGGTGGGACCCAACATACCATGGCTCAGTGCGCGAAAACGTGTTAGAGCGGCCGATGAGCTCAAGCTTGAGTTGCGAGTGAGTATCGAGTCGCTTCGCCGTGCTCCTGCAAGTCGGTTGTCCAAGTGACAGGCTCCATCACCTCTTTTTATGTGGATTCTCCGGATACTGCTTTTTACTGGATAAATTCGGCACCAAAATAATTTCGGCCAAGATTTTCGATAACGCGATTTGACGACATGCAATTGTCGGGTGACACGACCGAATAGGAAAGCCTGGAGCGGCACCGACAGAGCTGCAAGATCAACCAGCGCAGGTATCGCGCCAGTCTGTGCAAGGCGAAGCGCCAGCAGCAAGTATACATGGATGTTCGGAGCAGGATCAACCAAGAGCAGGAATGCAAGTCGCTGCAATCCACCGAAGTGGGGTGTGGAGCTACGCCATAAAATTCCTTTCTCGAGAACCTTCTCCTGTTTAAGAGGGGCACGTGGAGTCGCCGCGCCAAGGCTCATGTCTGAGCGGTTGGATCGACCTGGACAGTTATTGCAACCAAGAGGTATGGTGGTCTTGTTATATACGGGGATGCTGACAGAGTTTAGCGAGGTGACTAGAAAGGGGTGGAAGCCACCAGGACCATGTAGATGTCCTACCACAAATTTTTCCCGTCGTTGCGCATCAAATGCGCGCGGTTGTCGTCTGTGGACCGCTTCTCAGATACGACGTTCGTCGAAGTGCAAGTCTTGGTCAAGGAGAGACTGTCCGACGCCACGATTCAAACGGTGTTTCCACGCGTGATGTAGCCACAAGACTTCGTAGATGCTCGTCGGACCATTGCTTTGCCAGTGCATTTCACTTTCGTATTCGACGTCACACTAAGCGCGTGATGTGGCAGGAATACTACCACACGAACGTCGTTATCGCCGTCATCTGCGATCTTGACAACTTGGATGAAGTCGCGTGTGCCGTAGCCGACACTGCCATCAGACCCGACGCAACAATCCGCGCGACAAGTAAATTTACTTCACTCACACGTTCATGCAGTCATGCTTTCATCGATGCTACCATCCCTCGGGTTGGTATAACTGTGAAATTATTTCGAGTCATTTTACCAGAAATCATGTCGCGGAGTGCATCCTAATTTGGATCGTAGTTTCCTACAGTATAATAATGTGAAAAATCTTCCCTTCGACCACAACAGCGCTCGTCTGCCTTTTGGTCCAACTTCGCGTTTTGACGGACACATGCAGTTATGTAGCAACCCCAAGGTGGAACAAACATTTCGTACAGGCAAGTGACATCGCCTTGTCAGCTGAGTCATGGTGCAATTGAAAGAAAAGCTCTATTGGCGAATGAGCTTTAACGAAACCTAGAATCGACATTTTTGTCATGCATTGTTGTCATTCTCTTGATTCGTGATCGTCTGCCTTGCAGTCTTGCAGTGTCGCAAGTGTTGTGCTCTACGTGACTTGGTCGCATCGTCACTCCCTCATATTTGAATAGTCACACGCAGACATTTTAAACGAGTCGTCGTCCCAATTATCATTAATTCAAAGGATTTTCATAGAAATTCATTGGGAGCAAAAAGAATTATGGCAATATTTCGCGCGAATTGTCGGAATGGTGTCGGAATGACTATCGTCGCGCGCATGACTTTCCCAATCGGGTTGCTCGGACAAGTCACGTCGAACGATGTTCGGATATGATATCCGGATTCGATTACTCTGTCGAATTTGTACCTAAACACAAACAAGGACCGTCATTCCTTAAACATACAATCCTGACGCACACGAGGGATGGAAAACGCAGGGGCGCCACGGCGATCGGACGAAGAGCGACTTCAGCGACGCCGGGAACGATGTAAGATCAACCAGCGCAAGTATCGAGCCAACCTACGCGTCTCTAAGAACCTGGAGCGCCTCGATATGGAGGAACTTGGCCGTGTGAATCAGCGGTTAGAAGGCCACATAGACGCCATTGATCGACTAGGACTGTGGTGCCACGCGGAAGAACAGTCGCTTCTGGAGTATCTACGATTGTTTGAGCATGGGTACTCGCGATCGGAGCGGCAGGACGCGTTCCTGCGCTTCTTCGTCGACCCGGATGGATGGTGCAACGATCAGGTAAGGTGCTATGGAACGTTGTCAACTCGATGATTGAAAGTCTCACGAACGGGTTTCGTTGTGTCAGTGGGTTCACAAGAGCTCACTTGGAGATGGTTTGTCCATAGAGAGGCGTGGAAGTCGTGAGGTCGATGTGGACATCCTACATGTCCTCGTTTACCTATCTCCACATCGAGTGTGCACGGATCACACCATTGCTCAACACCCGTGACGGCGCGTTGGTGGAACTCCATTGCTCGGCCGAGCTGGGCATGAATATGGTAACCATCCAAACGATTTTCCCTCAAGTTATGTGTCGGCCAGACTTGGTGGCCACAATGTTGCGCACGCCGTTGCTGCTACCCGTCCATACTACGTATTTGTTTAACCAACACAAACAAGTTACGTGGCAAGCCTCCAACGCGAATGTGGTCGAAGCACTGCTTCATCAGTTTGGCAACCTGGACGATGTGGCAGTGGCCGCAGCCAAAACAGCCATCCAGCCGAACGCTACGCTGCTTGAAGGACCCGATAGCGTCAAACGAAGCTAATATCACGCGCTGGCCACGGTGAAGGTCAGATTCAACCAAAGGCATTGGGGCCCTTGACGTGCTTGTGCTGGCTGTGCACGACGCCGGCGAGCCCGTGTGTGATGCCGTCATTTGCTGACCGGATGCACGACGTCCGACGACATTTGACGTCCGTTATCGCGTTCGTTATCCCGTTCGTTATTGCATTCGGTCTCGTTTCGTAAACGTTTGCAAACACTTGGACGTCGTTTCACAGCCACAAGGATGGACGGGCTTTGCACGACCTGGACCACTCACCCCGACGTCAGGATGGACTCGGCGCAGGCATTTGCTGGCCATGGATGGTATGGGTCCCCCGCGGCGAATGGTGTGTACCCGTGGGTCGTGTTGACCCAAACTCAGCGGGCCACTTGCTGTTTGCATTACCGAGGATGTCACGTTCGCCGTGTTCGACGGCATGGTGCCGCTTCTGTTCGTTTCCGTCACGGACACGAGCCAGTGTCCGAGTCAAGACGAATGAAATACCCTTCGACACAAGGTGCGGTGCCACGGGGTTGCTGTCGTCTATGGAGAATGGCCTTGTCCTACTTCGCGATGCGAGCAGCAATCGATGTGTTCACCACGGCTCGATCGGATGTACCAGCCACTTCAATCGTGGAGGCTGGAGACGATGGAAACTCAATGCCTTTCAAATTCTACTCCACGATCGATGATAGTTCAGGGATTTCTCAACTCTACACGCCATGGATATGCACCTTCCACAACATGTTGCAATGGTTCGTCATGCAAATGTTAAAGGTAGAGGGGTCTGGTTAGGCTGGAGAGCCCAGAGTGGGGTGTGGCATCGAGTTAGCATGGGCCATACTGTTAAATTGCACGTCGAGTGGGTTGGCAAGCAGATGTTCTATTAGCTCTTGATTTACCTTGCCCACCATCTCCCAAAACTACGTGTTGATCGCTGTCACCGTATCCGCGCATCATGGGGCTTGCTTCATGAGGCAGCACCGTCCCAAACGCAATATGCGATACGAACGTGAACGAAGTTGGGTTGGCGGGGGCTTTTGGCGGACTTTGAGATTCGTATGGTCGAGGTGGCCCTGCAGCACTGGTACAACTCGGCCAAAAATCATACGTTCGATTGAAGAGAGACTTCATGGACCTTGTCAAGCCATGAGAGCTCGCGGCGGAGGTCGTGGTGCTGTCGTCGTTCCCACGCGAACTATCTTGCCGTCGACTTGGCTTCGTGCAAGCTGTTGATGCTATCCGGATACTGCATATTGTAACCGGTAAATCCAAGGTCGTGCGAGGGGCGGCGCGTGCTACTACGGCTGACTCAGCGGCTGGACGTCACCGCCTTGAATGGGGCTGTGATGTGAGTACGTAGACCAGTTGTCCTTTTATTTATGGGGCACCTTGTCCCCAAGTGGAGACAGGAACGTGCCATTTTCACATACAACCAGGAACAACCGATTGGACGCGTACGGTGGAAGGTAGAAACCTCGCAACGTGCTTCATCCAATGCGGCATCACAGACCTAACGGCAGGGATCGTTCGCAGCACCTCGACGTGGTTGCTGCGCTTCATGGCGGGGCTGTAAATGTCGTGTAAGATGAGGCATGTTTATCGTCGTGGTGGCGCATCGATCCATTCGACACGGACAGCAGTGAACAGTCGACCAGTCGAGGTACAGGCAAAACCAAATCGGTCTGAAGTGCCGACGAGAACACCACTTGGACAAACTGCACCGGGCGACTCGGCGGCTGGAAACAACCGTGACGTTCCTCGAGCGAGGGTTGTCGTGCCACGCCGAGGATCTATCGTTTCTGGAGTACTTTCGACCCATCGAACATAGTTACGAGACTTCCCCACGACAAGATGAAATCATCCAGCGCTTCTTTCCACAGAACACGTGTGCATGGTAAGAGCCTTTCTTGCACCTCGACGAAAAGATGTCTTGAGAGCCCAAAGATGTGGCATCAGTGCAGCACCATGTTATTGACTGGAGCCGTTGTTCTGCGACTGGTGTGGGCGACTGGCAGTCGCGCGGCTTTACTTATTTCTCGCGATGGTCCAGGCATTGCGTCCCCCACCTGCCGCGTCGTGCAGAGCTCCTTCTACTCCAAGCATTTCGACCGACAAGTAACTGATGCAAACGTGATCGAAGCGATGGAATATCCACAGGGCGTTGGCAGACGTCGACGCTGCAACAAAAGAAATCGGGATCGCGCCCGATGCGATGCTTCTCCCAGCTAAACCCTTCCATGAAGGCGCGAACGATCGATCGGTTCAGCAATAACAAATCAACCATGCTCGTGCAGAGTCCATATAGCGTTGCTACGACTGGGAAGTCGAAGCGAAATCAGGCAAGCATGAGCCTGTACCCTGGTACCGCTTCCATCTCTCCACTACGTCGGCACGATTCAACGAAGGATGACATGTTCCAGGATCCGTTCCTGAATCAGAGCTGCCAGGAAAAGCGGACCCCCTTCGGAGCTCGCGTGCTCTTGCCTGCCTCCCCTATGTGTAAGTGACCGTATCGTATTTCCGACTTGCGATTGTGCGGCGGTGGCGAGCCGACGCTTGAGAGGCCGGCGCTGGCTCTCCACACGATGCTGTTTGGCGTCAGGAATAAATAAATAAATAATGGAAATCTTACACGAGTTTACGTCGACAGTTTCCTGCGCTTGAGGATCGCGTCGAGATGGCATGGAGCGCCGTCGAGGGCCGTGGCCACGTCGTGGACGTTGCCCAAGAGGGCGACGAGCGCTGTGAACACGTTCGCCTCGAAGTCTATTCGCACCACGCGCTTGGTAGAGTCGAAGACAAACGTTGGGAGCAGCGGCAGTGGCAGCACTTGGTTCTTGAGCTTTTTCGCCAACTCGGGGTGATTCTTGGTCAAGTTGGGAAAGACAGCGTCGAGGGCGACGGGGTTGAGCTTCAAGTGAGCCATTACTTTCGCTTGGACGATCACGTCGTCGGCCAGGGCAAAGAGCCCGGCAACGTGTACAAACTCGAGTCGAAACGGCGCAAAGGTTGCACCGACGCCTTCCCACAACTCGATCACGTGGTCTATGCCGTGCTAACCTTTAATAAGCAAGTTTTCGACCACATCAAACGGCAGGGCGAAAATGTACCTGTCCCCCACACCACACGTCGGGGGCCATGAAGTAGCGCAGAAACGTCACTTGCCTCTCGGATCGGTCAAATCCATGGGCGAACAAGCGCACGTATTCTTGAATGCTTTTCTCTTCGGCGAGGAACCGTTCGCCGTTGTATAATGCTAGCACGTGCGATTCCAAACGCTTGGTATGCGTCTGGAGCTCGTTCACGTCGTGCTGGAGCTGGTTGTTGGCCGCACGCTGCCATGCGCGGTACTTGCGTTGGTTGATCTTACTTCGGTGGCGACGCCTTGCTCGCCTCGCTTCAAGCTGCATCTGGTCATGGGACGACCCGCCGGTGGCACCATCCCCTGCGTTGTAGCTCGTGACGCTCATGCCGCTAGACGACGACCCATCGCAACTCGCAGCCGCCTGCTGTGCGTCTTGGCAGCCGTTGCGGCTCGAATTCATGGGCGTTCGCGATGGAGCTCTCGTACGCACTGACAATGCAGTTCTGACCAAGTACAACTTGAGCTCGCGCGACAACGCCACGGACGCATAGCAGACCCCGCCTGATTGGCCTCCAAAGTTTGGCCACATCACGTGGCAAAGCCACGCACGAGTAACTTTCGAGAAATTCGAGTACGGCTTCCACGACAACGTTATGTCTTTTGTATCCAATCGTCATGCCGGATTTGGATGTATCTGGAGATGAATATGTCTGAAAGGAATAAACACATCCGGGTTCTGCGGAATGTCGGTCGTCCTGTGAACAAATTGTCTGATCTCGGTAAGCGCACGACGGGCCGCGCGGCATATGCTGGTGATTCGACGGCCACTCACGCTGTAAACGTCATTGTGTTTACTCATGGGGGACACAGCACACGCCGCGACGGCTGTGGATTATGTGATGGCGATGGAGTGACATACATGGTCCACCCAATACAATCCTGAGTTGGCGTTGGACAGAGTCAGGCGCCTCCACATGTCTTGAGAGCGACAAAAAGAGGAGATTCCGCTGATAGGGATTAGAAAGGTTACTCTCGATGGCAAGATGTTCGTCGTACTGAGAGATCGAATGAAACAGCGCACCACGCTTTGAAGCGCCTGCGTCAGGAGCAATCAACAGCACTACGATCGCGCACACCACACACTGGCTGCATTAGTTGAAACTCCGCCGTATACACACGCTGGTGGCCACCACGAACCATTTCGCTGGTGCAGCTGCTTGCTTTGGAACTCCGTACTCTATATCTCTTTCAGGACATACGTTTCCAAAGATCCCGCGTGCTGGTTTTATCGCACATGAACATACTTATGTGCGTGACAGCAGCGAGAACCCCAGCAGCGAGAAGTTTGAGCCACTTTGGGCCTTCGTCAGTAGAAGCTTCACGTGAGAGTGTAGACAAGAGATGGAGAGAAGACTGCAGTGGCTTGCTGTTGCTTGAAAGCGTCGTCAAGAATGACAACAGTGACCGTGTTGGCGACGCACCCAGGTGGTCACATAAACCCGACATGGTCAGGAAAAAATGTATTTTCGTATGTTGAACAATATCCTTTTTCACACGTTTCTTCCCGGGATATATATGTCAATGTAGTTTTATCCAATCAAAATGAATAATGAAATTCATTGGATTTTAATTGACCAATGTCAACGCAGGATAGGAACTGAAGCGACCGCAGATCCACCGCCAGCCCGCCGCCGCCACCAGCCAGCATGATGAAGAAGCTCGTGCTCCATTTCGACCTGAATCGAACCATCCTCATGTCCGATGTGGCGGGTGGACGGTCGATGGAGAATACATTGAACTATCTCCTCGCTGAGTGCACGTATGGACAAGTTCAAGGAGATGAAGTATGCAACGAAACTTCTACCGACTACTACGTGGGGTGACGTCATGATTGACTTGGACTGCGAACGATGTAGTGGGTGTGTGTGTCCAACGAGCCCTCCTTGGCACCACCAGCTCCGTCCCTTGTCACGTACAAGAGATTTGTCGACACGTTGTATCCATATCAAAGCATGCACGGCGAAGCGGACGCGTTGAACCACGTTAAGGCTTTCAACAAGTCGGTGGAATCGCTCCTTTTGTGGTATCTTGAACGCGATACAATCTAGAGCACAAAAGAAGAAGCGGACAGCGCTGCAATCGGCCTTCACAAGCGGACCAGGCTATCCCATTGCTGCGGCGTACGACCACGTGCTCTCGAGTCTATACTTTCCCGACGGACCCCTTCGCAATGCCGCCAAGGTGGCCACAGACGTACCAACTTGATGCATCTCACGCATATCTTGTGAAATTCTAGGCTGCTGCTGCAACTATGGCGGACTGTGGGCTCAAGGAAGCGTGGGGCGACGGTCGATATTACATCTTGCCGTCCTTCCTGCACTTGCTCTTTCACATTGAACACCACCGTACGTCATGAATCGGCGATTGTGACCCGGCATACCGTTTCGACGGTTCAAGCGCATAGCAGGCTCATGAACATTGACGTAGCGACGGTCGACGTCAAGGTCGTGTTTCGCACGTTTGGCCAAGACATTGTCGAAGTTGCCAACGAAATCAATTTTCTCGTTGAAGGGCGGCACCCATTATTCCCTGGGGTAAATAGCGCAGCAGCACGAGCTTGTTCCTTGCCCTTGTGCCGTTCCTCATGCTGCTCGTGCTATATTTTGTTCCGTACCAATAGAGATATCTGTCGCCGTCGATGCGACTTGAGCCCCCATATGCCACGTTTTACCGCGGTGCGTTTTCCTCAATCGATTGGTTTCTGCTAGTGCTGCAAGGTTTTGCCGCATGCATGACAACATTGCACGTCGTAGATGGTTTTGGCGCCGATGGGACCGTCTTGGCACTCAACACGTTGGAGAAAGTCCCATTTCAAGCATCCAATACCGCCAACTCGCCCGCGGAATTTTACGCCTCTTCGATCGAACCTGGTATAGCTATCAAGTTGCATCGTGAATGCACCGATAAGCTCATGTGCGCCATGCATGCCAGCTGTGTCAATCGTCCGGGGCTTCAATGCCGTCCACTCAACTATTCAAACGATGCTCTCGACGCGGTCCGTGATTGCCTTGCGAGACTATTGGGAGTGGTGGAGCACCCACGCCGAACACGCCGAATATGGCAAGGTACGTTTCAGTGAAACGACTTCCATGCAGTGACACTATGCTGCATTAGCTGCTCCTGGTCGACCCTGCGTTTCCGTCAGTCTTTTTCGACGATCACGTTGAAGAGTACGTGACCAGCTTTTCATCTTGGCTTTGATCATCAGCAATTCGTCTGCGTAGAACAGACGCCCATATTGTGGACGTGCGCGACGTTCAAACTGGCGTCGTCGTTCCGTTTCCAGTCGCCAAGGAGCATTTTCTCCGTCGAGTGGAGCCGTACTATGCCATCACTGACCCAACTTACTACACCGCTCTCGTCGACGCGCTTATCGCGTGAAGGCGGCGTGTAGAGTCATGGCCGATCTGCCGTCAAACACGACCATCTCCGTAGCGGAAGAGCGAGTCGAAGGATGAATTTCGTCACGTCTCGAGTTCCATGGCACGTCACGTCGCCTTTGTTCGCGAGCGCCTGTGAGCCACTGAGCTCGCGTACCGCCCTCGGCCATGCCCACGTCGAAAAGCCCTTATATCTTGCTCGCGAGTCCACGAAAGTACTACCCAGATGTGCAGCCGGGTGCGATGCTGTTTTGTCGACGTGAAGTGTGTACTCAAGCACCGCCAAAACAATTGGCACGGTGTTTGGTGGACCGGTTGTCGTTTTTTTCAGAGCTACCGATGGCGTGGGAGGTCGTCACCTCGACGGGATTCTATTTGGCAGTGGGAGGACTGGGAGGAAATGCAAACGGCTCGTCTTCGACCTCAAGTGGCGTCGTCGGAAACGTGACGCCCCGCGTGCTCGAGAACTCGAGATCGTCTTCGACCGAGTGATCGCTCTCGGTCGTGATGTCGATGTGGTAGAGCTGGCGCCTGGACCCCGATTGCCTCGATTTGTTGATGCTGTCAAGGTCTGGGCCGACGCGGTCCACGTCCCTCGCCGCGCTCCCGTCCATGCCATTCATGGACGATGGACTTCCGCCTTGAATGAGCGTTGGAAACATCTCCGACATGGCGCCGCCCGTCGATTCAAAGCATTCTTGGCAGTGGCACACCGGTGTGTGGATGGCCATTTCAGGAATTGGCTTCATGTAATTCTACAACGTAATTGTCAGACAGGTAAATCCGTTAGCGCAGCACAGGATATGCCACTGAAAACGCATCGATGGAAAAACACCGCAGTCGATGAAACACGTCATAACACTTCGGTCGACTTGATGGCCCACACGAGAGTCCCATCCACAATCGCAGCAGTCCCATGCACACCAACCTTGGTGCACTTGGAGCACATTGGTCGCCCGCATCGGAGACACGGATGTGGCCGTCGAAACACGTGGAACGTCACTTGGCAGCCGACGCACTCGCGACTGGACCCTTTCGATGGGGGTTTTGTCATAGTGTGTTGCGCTATGACATGGAAACGTGTTCAGGTCGAATGCCAACGCGTCCCTGGCGTACCGATCGCGGCGATCGTGGCCGCGGCCGTCTCGAGCACTTGCAGCCACTCGTCGCGTTCGTGCAAGGCCGTCGTGCAAAAATTCCACGTGACGTTGTTGTGCTGGGCATCCGACATGACGTCGAACCCGTGGTGGCCGATGCTCGTGTGGAGTTCGTCTTCGCCTTGACAGAAGTGCGGCACAACTGACGTCGGCACCATCCATTGCCAGCTACGATCCCACGTTAAGGGTGCCATTTCTTGCAGACACATCCATTTGTCGTACTTGATGGCGGCGTATTGCTTTTGCTGCGACGGGATAAACGACCACAGTTTATACGACGATTGTTCAAACACGACCAGCGCCCGCTTCCAGTAATGGCCCTCTTGCTTGTAGACGTATCTACCGTCGTGGTGTTGAATGCTCGCGCAACGGAGCAGACCACGATCACGGCCTTACCCAAACACACAGCCGTTGCCGACCAGAAACGAAGAGCCAATGTCGTACGATGCAAAGGACGGCTGGGCGAGGAGGTCCAAGATATCTACAGCTGGATGAGAGGCCCGCCGCATCACATCCTTTCAACGAATTGCCTTTTTGAAACGCGGGGGGGCGGGAAAACGCTGCCGATTTCAAAATCGACGGAATCGCCGATGGATGGAGTGGTTCGGCTCGTGGCACCACGTCATGGAGAATGTCCATCCATGCCTTGCTCTCCGACGCCAATTGCCCGACCCGCAACGAACTGTTCGAGTGCGGCACACTACACGACGAAAATGACACAACCCACATCCTTGGCATGAATCGACGTACTGCAAGCACTGGTCGATGGTTTCAAAGATGCACTGGGTAAAGCCAGACGGCCCCCGTTGCAACTTGTTCGGGCCGTGCTCCATGACGTGTGCGACGACAGGGCACGTTCTGCTGCGTTTGCAGTTGGGATCGCTCAGATAAAATACGACGATTTGAGACACACGAGTGAGGATCCAGCTCGTGTGGACGGTCGTGTAGGCATCAAGCAACCAGTCAACGAGGCCGCAAGCCACGAGCATGGTGTCCATTCTACGAAAACCTTTCAACTTGAGCATATTCAGTGACGACGCGTGCGGTCGACACCAAGCTCGAACGTACCGCTTTGACTGCATCCCAACAATTGCTTGGACCAAGTCGCACAGGTGCAGCAACGGCCATGCGGCAGCTCCAGCCATCGCCTTGACATGCAACGACAGCTCCACCGCCCGCTGCTCCATCGTTTCAACGACAGCGAGCCGAAGGCCTTGGTACTCTTCAATGTTGGACTTCCAGTCGTCGCTGCAAAAGATGTCGAGTTCGTCGACGTTGCCCTTGAGAGCGTTTTCGAAATGGGTGATCCACATCTCTTTGTCAGCTCTGGATGCAGTGGTCAGGACGACATCGTCTCGGCCTACGCAGTGCTCGTGTGGCCATCGATTCATGTCGTCGCACGACAACCCACGACGCAAGTAAAAAGGACGGTATGCAACTTGTCAGGGGTCGTGTGCAGATTCACTCGCTCAAGTGCCATCCATGCAAGTCGAAACGCAGTTGGATGCACTTACCTTTGCAATGTACGACGACTTCCATGCTCGATCTGGCTTCGACAGACGTGATGATTTCCAATGCGACGATTTGCGGCGCCGCGTCGGGCAGTTCGATGCTCAGACCCAACATACAATTGAGTACCACGGGAACATTGGGCTGGCCATTCACGACCAGCTTGCCTTGTACCATCACGTGGGTTTGGCAGTGCATGTACTGGCATTCGATTCCAATGTGGCCTTTCCCTGTTCGTTCGGAAAATTCGACTGTCGTCACGAGCTCGCACAGCGAGGTAAAGTGGCGGGTACACCCAAACGACACTGGTCCCTCATGTGAGTGCGACGAAATGCACGGTCGAATGGAGGGGGGGTTACCTCGGGCTGTCGTCAGACCGTAGTGCGAAAACTCATCCAGCATGCCTTGGGCGATCGAAGGCACGTGGTGCTGTTCCATCACCATGTGTACCAAGTGACGAATTTTCTATCCACAACAACGCATGACATGAGTCGAACGGCCGCCATCCTTTCGAGACATCGCAACGCAATCCATCCATTCCACTGCAATCGACTCCATGGCCAGCAGTACCCAACGCCACAACAACCGCTGTCCATGGCGCGGACGCGTGTTCGATATCAAAGAGCAATGACCATCCCGACGGCCAATGTCCGATCAAAACAACTTCACGCTAGAGGTGCATCCAAACGGGAAAACACCACGTGCGTACCCTGGACGTAAAGAGGCGCATGGGGGTGTACGCCATGTCTCGCGATGTACCACACAGCTGGACGTAGTCGGGCTCGCCCGTCAATTTGTCTTTCGGAATCGACTTGACAAAAATCAAGTCGCCGCGAGGCGAAATGTACGGCGCAAAGATCAGTGAGCACAGGACGCTCTCGACGTTGTCCTTGTCGGCGGACCATGGCAAGGACGTGAGGCGTTGGAGGAGCAGCGAGATGATCTTGGCCCCTTTCACGAGCTCCATCGTGGCGTACGAATGATCGCAGTAGATTAAACGAACAATCGCGTCACGCATGTCGTCGTACTCGACGTGGTCCAACATGAAGCGGACATGCGCCGGGTGCTGGCTCAGGTGGTACAGCACGCACGCGCCCTTGTTCCAGTTCATGACAACGTGGCGAATGATCTACCCGCGTCAGATCCACATGAATACCCATCAAAAGCAATATCGAATAACAATATGCCGAAGGATGTCGTCGTACCGTGGCGAAGGCAACGCACATGCGGCCGACTGGGTCGTCATCGTCGTTGGGAAGGTAAAATTTTGCCTTAGCCGAAACAGCGTCAACCATCGCGTCAAAGCACCACGCCCAAAGGCCAGTGCACCGGTCGGCATGCCCAGGTTGGTATGTCGTGCAGCATTGCGCAATCGTGCTCTTCGTGTTCAGCAGCAGCGTCAAGCCTAGCGCCAAATCTTGTGTTGCCCTCGACACAAGCTATGCAAGGTGGAACGTGATCGTTCGGGAGTCGATCGCACATTCGTCGATTAAAACAGATCGCGCGATACCTTGGACGGGTCTTGACTCAATCCCAACGCCAGTGCGACACACTCGTGGACGCGTTCGGCATGGTGAAGTGCGCTTCGCATGGATGGATGCATGTGGTCGGAAATAAACACCAAAAGCCCTTCGCTCATCGTTTCGTTGAGGAGTTCCTGCAACGTGTGCCTACACATCGTCGTGGGAGTCGACTGAAACGCGCTGTCCACGTTGCGATGATCGTCGCGCGATCACTGCGCACGTACATACTTTCCCTCCATGAACGCGTTTGAGAAGTCGTCGCATGCCCGCCGATATGCCTTGGCCTGCCGAGAGTCCGCCACCACGGTCTCCTTCTTCAAGTTCACGCGGGTCCACATTCTGCTCAAGCGGCGGCGGCGGCGGTCGATATGTTGTACTTCAACGACCGAATTGAATTTCCGTATAAAAAATACCGCGTTCAGCCAGCCGAACTACCTGCAAATAGAAAAAAACACGCGAGACAGGCGATATCTAGGATTTGGTGCAACGATTGGTGGAAAATAGATTATTCATGACATTTTGACCAATTAAACGGTGGAAATCGCTTAAATTTCGTCACGACATTGCAAGCGTTACCCACGTGGCTCTGTGTGTAGAAAAGGCGCTCACAACTCATTGGCTGGTGTGGCATTGCGTGCCCACCGGAGCTGGCACGAAGGAGCTGAATTCGCGTGAATTAGGTCAAGCGTAACACTTGTAAATTCACGCTATGCGCGTCAATGCGCGCAAACGTGACGATAGCCTGTACGATGTGTTCCTTGTTCCTTCTTTGGATTTGTCACGTGCATTGGAATTTATGGTGGTAGAAACAGCCTCTGATTGGTTAAAATATCGGTTTTTCAAACGATTGGGGACATGACGTGGCAGCGTGACGTGCACGGACTTCTCGAGGCGTAGAAGCGGCAGGGTGACGTGCATGTATTTTTTTGGTTACCTTGCCGCTTGTGCGTGGTGTTTGCCCAACTGGACAAGGTGTTGTTACCACTGTACCAATTCGCGCTGTACTTCCTCTTGATGTATGCTGGTTTGGCGCGCACGTGATGAGGCAGCATCAGTTGGTTATTATTATGCCGCACATGCCAATTGTAGCGCTAACTTCACGCTGTCAAGTGAAGCTACACCCGACGCGTGTATTATATCCATCGAGGACGCATTGAATTGATTCTATCGATGTGTTCTCGAACGAAATAGGCAACATTCGCGTCGTGTAGTTCACCTCCATCAGAGCGCAATGCCACAGGTCGAACTTCTGTCTACGACAAAGCTCCCAGCCCAGTCCTGTCGCAATTTCGAGTGCCGTACGGAGCTATCCCGAGCGACACGCTCCGTCACACTTGTTCCCGACCGAGCGAGGTTCGTTTGATGCTAACAGATCACTTGTGCATATGATTGGATAAAAAGTCAGAACATATTTGCCACATCGAATTTGTCGATTTGAATTCCGTTATATGTTCCGTGTTTGTCATTCCACCTCAAATTCCAAGGACATACAGTACTGTAGTGTGTTGTCGGCACTTCGACAAGGACTTGTGTAAGGCAATTATATGAACGACGCGAAAATACAGCTAAAAATGCACAGTTTTCCATGTAAATATTCCCTTTCCTTGTGAGTACGACGCACGTTAACCAATCGCCCCCCAAACTTCCTCACTCACTCGACAGCACAGCTTCTATCCATCACAGTTCTGGAATGCGAGCGGGAACACGAAGCCAATTTCAAACAGGAGCCGCATTCAAGATATCGTTCCGTCGACGTTGTAAGCCCCGAACAACTTAGAGATTCTGCATCGCAAGAGCCTACGACTTGACACGAGAATTGGCGGCTGCACGCATCGAACAAAGTCGACAGAGGGATCACTTGAATACAGAGGGGATGAAAGAGCGATCAACAACTCTTTCAATTCCCCCATCCCCTTCAGTAATGTCGATTGGAGCGACTCGGCAGGGATCTGTCGCACGTGTGGCCTCTTTGGTCTGGGCCACGCTGGAAATCCGTCGGTGGTACACAAACGCCCCCCCAGACTGAATTTATGCTCTGCGTGGTACATTAATGTCGTTTTAAAGGTGTAACGAGCCGTACCCCGAGAAAATCCTTCTCGTGAGTCCTGTTTCTGAGAACTGTCCTTCTCGCAAGTCCTCCATAACTTCGATCGAAGTTTTTTCGAAGTTTTGTTGAGTTAAGGCAGTTAAAGAGTTAACGATGCTTCCGTTGCCCATGCCACCAAGCGACCTCGCTATGTCACCCGCCATCACGAACCAACGTGAAAAGACCC